ATTTTATTTTATTCCCATAGCAGTGTATACTTTTGTGTATTTTGTGTATTTATTTTATTATTTATTTTATTATTTATTATTTATTTTATTATTTTATTACTTGAGTCCTGGAAATGGGAAGTACAATGCCTGCACTTTAAAGGAGGGGTTTGGGATATTGGCAGTTTGGAGGGATATGTTGTGTATCTTTATACGTATATGCTTCTAAACTGTTGTATTCTGAGCACCTCTGCAAAAGCAGTGATAATGTGTGAGTGTGGTGAAAGTGTTGAATGATGATGAAAGTATTTTCTTTTTGGGGATTTTCTTTCTTTTTTGGGTCACCCGGCCTCGGTGGGAGACGACCGACTTGTTGAAAAAAAAAAAAAAATTTTATTAGCATTTCTGCATGAACATTTTCACTTGTATTGCCTCAATTAATTCTTGGTACAGTACTATGGGAATAAAGTCACATATACAAACAAGATATTGAGCATATGTCTTCAATGTACCAGTATGTTAGTGTTAATATACCTTTATTGTTACATCAAAAACATATGTACTCAATTGTGCTGTATAGTATACCATAATTTTAATTATATTAAAGTGTATAGTCATGTCACATATGTAAATTATTAGTGTCAATATATAATTTTAAATTATGCATAAATCCATTGAACTCTGCATAGCAATTAGTTTTTCATATTGCATTGTATATTATTGTTTTTAGATCAATGTTTGGTTCTTTATTTAAAATGTATTAATTATTGAACAGTGAGCATCAGGTACTGTAAGTTATGCAGCTTGCATGGCGTGATGTGGTGTTTATACAGCTTGCATGGTGCAGTCTATTTATACAGCTTGCATGGTGTGGTCAATACATAGCTTGCATGGTGTGGTCTATTTATACAGCTTGCATGGTGTGGTGTTCTGTTTATACAGCTTGCATGGTGTAGTCTATTTATACAGCTTGCATAGTGTGGTGTTCTGTTGGTCTTGTTACTGATTCCTACTTTCTGTGTGTTTTATTATGCTTTAACATAAACTCTTTGATACGTGATGCTGAAGGGCTCTTGATTAAAGGAACTGAAGTTGTCCTTCCTTTCCTTGGATCAAATCTGGTTGCATACCATTCCTTAGGTGCTGTACAACCCTTATTAGTTAAGCAGTTTCCCAGTTCCCCATGAATGCAATAATAATAATAATAATAATAATAATAATAATGATAATTTAAGATAAGCTTGTAGTGGTATGCTGATAATAATGGCATATCCACCCTGTGGATGGTAGTGGCTAGTTTATTGTGTACCTCATATCCATCCTGTTCATGGTAGTAGCTAGTTTATTGTGCACCTCATATCCATCCTGTTCATGGTAGCTCAAGAGCATATGTATACACAAAAGGCCTAGGAAGTAGACCCAGAAAGGGATAACAGGAGTACATCTAGATTTATATCCAGAGTTGACTTATCAGATGCCAGCAAATTTAGGAAATTTACTTACATCTGGTATTTTATTATCATTACTTAGATATCTTGACATATCACATAAGTTAATATACTGGATCTCTAAACTCTTCAATAAGTGGACAATATGGCATATATTGATAAAGAAAGTGACCATAGGGCAAGCCACATACTTTGCAGTTGGTTTGATCATCATCTGTGTGTCTGTCAAACTGCCACAAGTACTCATAACCAAGCCTAAGCCTGGCCACTTGCCACTACAACATCAGTCAGTGTTCACATTGCAAGTAGGTTATAGATCTACTCGGGCTTCTAATTGCATTCCTATAACATTCAGTCTCATTATTTACTTCTCTCTTAATAGTATTCCTAATGTTAGACACACACACACACCAAAGTTATATTCAACATTTTCCTTCAGGGTGTTTTTTTTTTTTTTTTTTGGCTAACTTGTCAAATTTATTATGAAAAAGCAATCCAGTGTGTGATAGAAGCCATAAGAATTGTACGTTAATTCCTGTTTTCTGGATTTTTGAGTATCTGTACCTGGCTTCTCCAATAAGCATGTTGTTAATCATTATGTGAGTCAAGAGCATTCAATGATAACAGAATCAGTAATAATCATTGTCAGGCTTAGTGTTATAAGTTAACTTAAGTGCCATTAGGATGACCAACAAATCATTTTGCAGTGTAGACACCCAGTTGTTAATTCTTATGCCTAACTCAACATAGTTGCTATCATTCTTAACTAGGGAGGTGGCAATAAGAGCAGATGCAGCCCTGCCAGTAGACTCCTGCTTAGATTCAACAGTGTATATAACTTGTGAAAAATTATTTTTGAAAGAATTAGAGGTAAGACAGAATGTAGGATTGCGGATGAGCAAGGAAGTTTCAGAGTGGGTAGGGGATGTGTAGATCAAGTGTTTACATTGAAGCATATATGTGAACAGTATTTAGATAAAGGTAGGGAAGTTTTCATTGCATTTATGGATTTAGAAAAGGCATATGATAGAGTGGATAGGGGAGCAATATGGCAGATGTTGCAAGTATATGGAATAGGTGGTAAGTTACTAAATGCTGTAAAGAGCTTTTATGAGGATAGTGAGGCTCAGGTTAGGGTGTGTAGAAGAGAGGGAGAATACTTCCCGGTAAAAGTAGGTCTTAGACAGGGATGTGTAATGTCACCTTGGCTGTTTAATATATTTATAGATGGGGTTGTAAAAGAAGTAAATGCTAGGGTGTTCGGGAGAGGGGTGGAATTAAATTACGAGGAATCGAATACAAAATGGGAATTGACACAGTTACTTTTTGCTGATGATACTGTGCTTATGGGAGATTCTAAAGAAAAATTGCAAAGGTTAGTGGACGAGTTTGGGAGTGTGTGTAAAGGTAGAAAGTTGAAAGTGAGCATAGAAAAGAGTAAGGTGATGAGGGTATCAAATGATTTAGATAAAGAAATATTGGATATCAAATTGGGGAGGAGGAGTATGGAAGAAGTGAATGTTTTCAGATATTTGGGAGTTGATGTGTCGGCGGGTGGATTTATGAAGGATGAGGTTAATCATAGAATTGATGAGGCAAAAAAAGCGAGTAGTGCGTTGAGGTATATGTGGAGACAAAAAACGTTATCTATGGAGGCAAAGAAGAGAATGTATGAAAGTATATTGGTACCAACACTTGTATGGGTGTGAAGTTTGGGTTGTAAATGCTGCACCGAGGAGACGGTTGGAGGCAGTGGAGATGTCCTGTCTAAGGGCAATGTGTGGTGTAAATATTATGCAAAAAATTCAGGATATTGGCAGTTTGGAGGGATATGATGTGTATCTTAATACGTATATACTCGTAAACTGTTGTATTTCTGAGCACCTCTGCAAAAACAGTGATTATGTGTGAGTGAGGTGAAAATGTTGAATGATGATGAAAGTATTTTCTTTTTGGGGATTTTCTTTCTTTTTGGCCACCCTGCCTTGGTGGGAGACGGCCGACTTGTAAAAAAAAAAAATTATTATTATTATTATTATTATTATTATTATTATTATTATTATTGCATGTGTTTCTTTTTATATGCATTCTAATTTTGCATCTTTCTTTTGCATTTTATCATTATTTAATACCACTTACATCCGGTGTAACTTAGTGAAATCAGAAAAAAATTTGAAAAGTTCTTTGTTTTTAGTGTATTTTCCTTAATTTTTTTAAATGTAACTCCTTACATTTCCATTAGTTTTATTTCTAAGTTACAAATTCTACCATGTTCCTAATTTTTTTACATTTTAATTTTAGTTTTTTCAACAAATTGGCCAACTCATACTGAGGTATGGTGACCCATTTATTAAATGTATTTCCTTATTTGCTTTTTAATTATCTTGAAGTTAGATTTTAATTAATAATAAATTTGAGTTTAATAATAAAATATAATTTAGTGTCTCACTAAATGCTCAATTTTTATTAAAATTTATATTACAACAGTGAGTGGTTTTATATATATATTAACTCATTGGCCATTTCCCACCAAGGCAGGGCGACCCGAAAAAGAAAAACTTTCATCATCATTCACTCCATCACTGTCTTGCCAGAGGCATGGTTACACTACAGCTATAAAACTGCAACATTAACACGTCACGTCAGCCATCTCCCAAGTATATTTTGTATTTTTCTATTCTTAGTACTGTATTAGTCCTAGCTCAAGTCTATCCAAAATGCTATGTATAACTATGAACTTTTCTTTGTAAAAAATGTAAAATTGCTAATTTTGAATGTATCTTCTTGGAAAACAAATTATCATTATCAGTCAGAATGTAAATGAAGAGCTATAATGAAAATGGTGACTATTAAATTTTAGTTCTTGAAGCATTAGTTAGACCTGTGTGGGTCATTCTGCACAGTGAGTGGTGGAGGCTTCATCGTCTGCTTACAGATTGCAGTCTGGTCTCTAATCGGTCATGCTGTTAATGACTGCTGATGTATACAAAATGAGGAATAAATATGGTATTGAGCTGTGTATGTTGTCTCTCAGTCAGGTTAAGCACCTTTGGATCTGGCCGGAAAATGGATAAATATAATGCTGTCTTTGACTACATGTAGAGTATTGCAGTAAGTCTACTTCTGACACCATTATACCCTATCATACCATATTTTAATTAAAAGTAATTTTTTTATATTATTTTTTAACACGCTGGCCATCTCCACCGAGATAAGGTGGCCCGAAAAAGAAACACTTTCACCGTGATTCATCCAATCACTGTCTTGCCAGAGGCACGCAGATACGACAGATCAGATGCCCTTCCAAACAGTAAATGTCTATAACCCCCTCCTTTCCATTGCAGACACTGTACTTCCCATCTCCAGGACTCAAGTCCAGCTAACCAGTTTCCCTGAATCCCTTCACAAAATATTACCTTGCTCACACTCCAACAGCTTGTCAGGTCCCAAAAACCATTTGTTTCCACTCACTCCTGTCAAGCAAGCTCACTACATGTATTAGTTATTAAGTATACTTCTGTATGTAAATACAATAAAATGATATGAATTCCTTTCAAATCTTGATTACTCCAGGTAGCTGAGGGAGTTTTCCAAGACATTAAAACTTCATGGTGGGTTTTGCTGTCTGGTTTTGGTGTTGCCATGCTCGTGTCATTCCTTTGGATTATCCTCCTACGGTTTATCTCGGCTATCATGATTTGGTTCTCACTGATTGCCTTTATAGGACTCTCTGGCTTTGGTAAGTACTATACAGATAGGTCTCCATTAGTGTGAATAATGAATCCTGTGAAGTGGGCACATTACAGTAAGTCCTCGACTTATAAACAACGTTGAGAATCTTGTGTATTGTGTATAATATTTTTATCATTTCTTCATCCGTAAGCTATGCGTGTCATAAGAGGCGACTAAAACGCTGGGAACAAGGGGCTAGTAACCCCTCCTGTATACATTACTAAAGCTAAAAAGATAAACTTTTCTTTTTCTTTTTTGGGTCACCCTGCTTTGGTAGGATATAGCCAGGTGGTGAAAGAAAGATTATTATTATACACAATACAGGTCCCCAATGTGTTCATAAGTTGAAGACTTCTGTATTATGAATATTATACACAATTTAGGAGGTCCCCAATGTATTTGTGAGTCAAGGACTTACTGTATATATTCAGTTTTTGTGTATGATTTGGGGGGAAAAAAAAGGTAGCATTAATTAATTTTATATTAAATAAAAATTCACACTAATTGACATGTGACTGTATTACTAAACTATTTTTTTCTTCCTAGATTTTCAAATCCATATAATTCGTGTTGTAAAATGTATCATATAGTTGGATGGTCAACAGTAACCGTCATTTAGAAGTAGGAGAGACAATGAGGTGACAGGTTGATGACAAAGACACAGGAAACAATGTAATCTTTTATCATAATGTTTCACTCAATGAGAACTGGATTGTTATGACTTGATAAAGCTCTCCTTAAGTTTATTTAGGCACAGGTACACTATAATAAAAGCCTAGTTGATCAAACCCTGATCCACCACGAGGCCTGGTCTCAGACCAGGCCGCGGGGACACTGACCGCTGGAGCCCTCTCCAGGTATACACTGTTTTCTGTCTCTCTCATCAACCATCATTTGGCTTATGTAATAAATCCATATTTTTCAGTATATGTACTGTTTTTTTTTCATATTCTTAAAGAGCAATATTGATTTTTTGTATACTGATAAGTTTTGATGCACTTTCAACAGGGGCATACTACACCTTAAACAAGTATCTCACACTACGCAGCGGTATCAACAACTCAACCATGACTGCAGCTGAATATGAGTTTTCCAAGGAAATTAGCCGATTTGCAGAATTGGAAACAACCTGGCTGGTTCTCTTCATAATAACAGTGACCATCTTGGTGGTGTGTCTGTTGGTGCTCATCTTCTTGAGAAAGAGAATCAACATTGCTATTGCTCTTATTGGTCAAGCTAGCAAGTGAGTGGTCTTTACTTGTGATATATATTTTTAACACAGCTGTTTCTCACTAAGGCTGGGTGACCCAATGACAGTGTAACTTTCACCAATAAAAGTGGTGATACAACTAGGTCACGATTAGTGCAAATAATGAATCATGCGAAGGGGTGGTATTATTCTTATCCGCACTATATTGTTTTGTCTTTTTAGCACATTGCTGTCTCCCACCCAGGCAGGGTGACCTGAAAAACAAGTAATTAAAGTCTTTTGTTCTTTTTACATTTTTTTTTATTAACACACTGGCCGATTCCACCAAGGCAGGGTGGCCCGAAAAAGAAAAACTTTCACCATCATTCACTCCATCACTGTCTTGCCAGAAGGGTGCTTTACACTACAGGTTTTAAACTGCAACATTAACACCCCTCCTTCAGAGTGCAGGCACTGTACTTCCCATCTCCAGGACTCAGGTCCAGCCTGCTGGTTTCCCTGAATCCCTTCATAAATGTTACTCTGCTCACACTCCAACAGCACGTCAAGTATTAAAAACCATTTGTCTCCATTCACTCCTATCAAACATGCTCATGCATGCCTGCTGGAAGTCCAAGTCTAGGAGAAGGAGTTACTCACCCCTTGCTCCTGGCATTTTAGTCTCCTCTTACGACACACATAGCTGACGGAGGAAGAACTCTTCTCCATTTTTCCATGGAGAGCTATTCAAATTATATATAATTTTTGCACACGATTTGAAGATTTTAGGGAACAAAAACTAGCATTAATCAGTTTCATTCTAAATTAAAACTCGTACTAATCGCGACCTGGCTGTATATGATATAGCTGTCATAAATTTAACATTAATACAATGATATCTGTCTCACTTGGATCGAATATTTATGTATTTGAAATTGTTTATTTATAGCTGTAGGACTAAGCCTGTGGTAGCCCAACTCCAACATTCAGCCTTATAAAAAAAGATAAATTTCCAGTGGCTGTAGCACTGACTGCCTTCTCTTGTAGATCGTAGCATTTCAGATCTGACCTAGAAATTCGAAACTTTTAATTCAGAATTCATGGCTTAGTTAGTAGTGCACTCAGCTCACTTACTGAGTGTCCTTGGTTCGATACCTAGCTGAGTGGAAACATTGGGCATATTATTTTACAGCTGCTGTCACTATTCACCTAGTAGTAAGTAGGTACTTGGGTGTTAGTCGACTGGTGCGGGTGGCATCCTGGGTGGGTAGTAGTATGCCTTAGTCAGGGCTGGGCTTTGAAATGAGCTGAGGTAAGGTAACAGCTCTTAGTCTGTAAAATTGATCCATGTCAAAAAACAAGATGTAGCACTTTATGATGTTTCAGTACCTATAAGAGATTTTTATGAAACAGCTACTCAAAAAGACAACTACACCTACCATCCGGCTTACGACCGAGTTTGGTTCTGAGAAACCGGTCGTAAGTCGAAATGGATGCAAGTTGAACTTTACTACTGAATATCAACATAACATTTTTGTAATGACTCTATTTTATTGTTTTATTTTGGTATTTCATGTTTTACTTTACTTTTTATGCTGTTAGTACTGTATTTTATACTGTAAGGTTTAGGATAAACACTGTGTACAACACAAATAGTTGTTTTTTTCCCAGAAATTTGGCATAAAAAACACGGTCGTAAGTCGAGTCGTCGTAAGTCGAGCAGGTCGTAAGTCGGATGGTAGGTGTATTGAACGAATGTTGGTCAACAGTTTACTTCTTGAGAATTGACCAAACAATAAATTTTTTAATGAAAACTTTTAAATAATGGAGTTCTATACTATTAATATTCTGACCTAATATATTTTTCTGAATCTTACTGAAATTATTTTAAGGCCTTATACACAGAATTTAATTAATTTATTAATATATTTTTCTGATTCTTATTGAAATTATTTTAAGGCCTTATATACAAAATTTAATTCATTTATTAACAAAGAGATCAGTACTTATTTATTGTATCCAATAATATCACAGTAAACAGGTGATACCACAACATGCAAAATAACCACTGTGAAAAAAAATATTGAATTCTTATATTATCAAGGAACAGTTCCTTGATAATATTAGAATTCATGAAAGCCCTCGGAAATTCACTATTATTTTCACAGTGGTTATTTTGCATATCTACTGTATAAATATTAATTATTTACAGAGATATTATACTACAGCATTACCTTGCTACCAGTATATACAATACAGAACAGTGTAGTATATATAATATAGTTGTAGGAATATATTAGCCCTTAAACGGTCCAAACAGATCAACGTTAAAATTCGTAGTGCTACAAAAGTAGATCTACTTTTTGTTACATATTTTCAAATAAAAAAAAAAAATGTAGATAAAAGTTTTTTTACACGTTTTCAAATGTAAAACAAAAAAGAAGATCTACATTTTTTTACATTCTTTCAGATGTTGAAAAAACGTATATATACGTTTGGACCATTTAAGGGTTAAAATAGCAGTATGTAAAGAGTATGTAAATTTTCAGAGCTGTGGGTGACATCATGTCCACTCTGTTCTTCCCTGTTATACCATACGTGCTGCAGCTAGTGTTCCTTGTGCTCTTCTGCGTGGTTGCTATCCTTCTGGCATCAGCAGGCAAAACTGAATACCGAATAATGTGTTTGGAAGACGGTTGTGGATGTCCAAATGTAAAGGTATGGTTTTCTGTGTTGGTTCAGTACGTTTTGTTTTTCAAATTAATATTACTTGTATGTGTACACACAACATCACACAGTGAATGAATTAGATGAAGAGGTGGTGAAAGCTTCTTTCATTTACATTATTAAGATTATTACATTCTTGGAGAGAGTGCTAAAGCATTGGGAGGTGGAGGGGGCATTCAGCACCTTGGGGACTAGAAGGCAATAAGGCTTGGTTCAAGGATTTGGAGCACAGGTTCAGTTGCTTAGATCAAGAGCCCCTCATCATTATCAAGGAACCTCCTTTGAGGGGGTCCTCCATTTTTGGCTTTAAGAGTACTGTAGACATGACAGAGCCTGGGAGGTTAGACTTTAGTACTTTTGAGATATGCAGCATGGGGGTTAGACTTGGAGTACTGTAAGATATGGACACCTGAGGTTAGACTTGTAAGACTGTAGATAGATAGCCTGGAGGGTTAGACTTGGGTACTGTAGATATGACAGCCTGGAGGGTTAGACTCGAGTACTGTAGATATGACAGCCTGGAGGGTTAGACTTGAGTACTGTAGATATGACAGCCTGGAGGGTTAGACTCGAGTACTGTAGATATGACAGCCTGGAGGGTTAGACTTGAGTACTGTAGATATGACAGCCTGGAGGTTAGACTTGAGTACTGTAGATATGACAGCCTTGGAGATTAAATTCAAGTACATACTGTAAATATGGCAGAGCCTGGGAGGTTAAACTGTAGATATGACACTGCCTGGAAGGTTAGTCCTGTAAATGTAAATCAAGCCAACTCAAGAGGCAGGTTCAAGAAAAGTGTCTTGACCTTGCAAACACAACTGTTAGCATAACTTGGCCACTGGGTCCACAGTTCTCAAAGAGCTCCTACAGTTAGCTGGTCATGAAGAAGCTATTAGGCCCTTACATAGTGAGTGCGATATGGGCAGCACTGTTGAACATAGAAATAATTTCACCTTAATGAAGTTGATAATCTAGGGTATGATTTTTTGAACAAATGGAAGACTTGGTTATCAAACTACTCATGTTTGGTGAAGTTAGTTAATAAATTTATTTAGGCACACGTACACATAAGTACATTTATAATTTTTTTTTTTTTTTTTGTTAACACATCAGCTGTTTCCCACCGAGGCAGGATGACCCAGAAAGAAAGAAAATCCCAATGATAACCCAAAAAAGTCAGATAAAGGGACTTACTTCCACTAGGATTCTTGAAAAGGAGGATGTCAACAGCATTTGGTGTTCCCAGGCGGTCATCCATCCAGGTACTAACTAAACCCAACGTTGCTGATCAGATGAGAAGTGGTGTGTTCAACATAGTATAGCCGGTTAAGTTGAGTAAGCTAATGACCCTGGGGGGATGTTCACTTTATTTTGAAATGAGTTGTGTACAGCAATTATCATTCATTTGTATTTCAGCCCATACAGTATTTTTATTTTTTAACCCGTAAACGGTCCAAGCAGATCTACGTTCACATGTGTAGTGCTACAAAAGTAGATCTACGTTTTTTTTGCATATTTTCAAATGTAACAAAAAAAAAGTAGATCAAAGTTTTTTTACACATTTTCAAATGTAAAAAAAACAAAAAGATCTACTTTTTTTACATACTTTCAAATGTTGAAAAAAACGTATATATACGTTTGGACCGTTTACGGGTTAACAAATGAGCCATGCATACCCCATCGAGGCAAGGTAACCTAAAAAGAAAAAACAAAAGTTTTTCTTTTTAAATTTAGTAATACATACAGTATTAGAGGTATATATAACATAAGCTTACATTGCAAATTAAAAAAAAAAAGCCTTAATACATCTGGCAGTGAGGAGGGCAAGTTTCTTTTTTTTTTTCAACACACTGGCCATCTCCCAACAAAAGCAAGGTGACCCTCTGTCTTGCCAGAGGGGTGCCAATACCACAGTTCAAAACTGCAACATATCCCCACCTCTCCTTCAGAGTGCAGGCACTGTACTTCCCACCTCCAGGACTCAAGTCCAGCTAACCAGCCAAGTATAACCAGTTAATGTAGAAATTTGCATGAGTATCACTCATGGTATGATTATAAGTTACAGATGGAGTAAAGAACAGGTTAGAATATATTTGATGTATTTGTGCATACCTTTGACATGTTATGAGGGTTCTTCTGTCCTCACAAACTGGCCTGAGATAAGCCTTCTTATTCATTGCCTGTTCAGCCAGGCTGTTGCTGTTAATGGCCTGCTAATGGCATTATGTCTTTCTGCTAATTGAGTGCCACACTGTGATGTCTTATTCATTCTTATTTTCTACACAGAATATATACCCCAAGTGGCATACATTATATATATATATATATATATATATATCAAAGTATGCAATAAGATCACAGTAAGCAGGTGATGTCATAATATGCAAAATAACCACTGTGAAAAAAACTGTGAATTTCCAAGCTCTTTTGTTGTTATTTTGCATATCAATGTATGTAAATTAAATTTGTTTTAGTGATTACTCTGGGAAATATAGTATTCTTAGCTGGTGGTGTGCAGGGAAAATGCAGTTGGTAGACTTTAAAACTAATGAACCAACTACACTTTTTTTTCAACAAACTGGCCATATCCCACCTAGGCAGGCTGACCTAAAAGGAAAAGCAAATGTTTTTCTTTTTAAATTTAGTAATTTATAGAAGAAAAGGAGTTATTAGCCTCATGCTCCCCAGCTACACTTACTATCTGCTTATTGGTAATATTTTTTCCAGGAAAATGATACCTGTACATACGAGGAGTTTAACAACACAGCATGTCCTGGGGCATCGTGCCAGTTTTTCGACTATGTTGTTGATCCAAACATTCCACGACTACATGTAAGTTTCACCCTCCTTAGCCTGGCCAGGTAGTGGCACTCAGCTGCAGTGGCAGCTTGTAGCTCCAGTAATACCTATACTATCGTACCGCATCAAACTTCTATTTTTAATAATTTTTATCTCGTTTCAACAAAAACATTAAAACACGCATATAAACACATTGAAAACAACATACAGTAGATTTTTCCTCTAATATACTTTGCAGTTGCAAATTATTTTAGCGTAAGATTGATGAAGACATAGGTCTGGCAGTGAGCATCTGGGGACACTGCAGCTCTGCAGCTTCTATGGACAAGCCACCACTACTCAGTTGGTATATGAAGAGAATAGTTCTGATGTTTAATCCCTGGAAGGAGGATTAAGCCTCCTGGATTTTACATAGTTACTCATTTTTATTTTTTCAACAAACTGGCTATCTCCCATCGAGGTAGGGAGACCCATAAAAGAAGAAACACTTTCACCATCATTCACTCCATCACTTTTGCCATAGAAGCACTGATACTACAGTTGAAAGCTGCAAATATTCCCATTATATAGCGTTTTGTCTCATTTCTGAACAAATAATTTATAAATTTTTATTAAACTTTATACAGATATGTGCTTGCTGGGTTGACCAGGCAAGCACCAGATGAGCCTGGCCCATGGCCGGGCTCTGAGAGTAGTAAGACTGGAAACGCATCAAGGTAAAGATACTGGCCAGGCTCTGAGAGTAGTGAGACTCTGGAAACTCATCAAGGTAAAGATACTGGCCATGCTCTGAGAGTAGTGAGACTCTGGAAACTCATCAAGGTAAAGATACTGGCCATGCTCTGAGAGTAGTGAAACTCGGGGAAACTCATCAAGGTAAAGATACTGGCCAGGCTCTGAGAGTAGTAAGACTGGAAACTCATCAAGGTAAAGATACATAGAAAATAAATCTCTAAATTTACTGTAATTGTTTTATGTTTTTACACAATAAGTTTAATTAGGTACAGGTACACATAAGTACACTTATCATACATTTTTTTTTTTTTTCAACAAGTCGGCCGTCTCCCACCGAGGCAGGGTGACCCAAAAAAGAAAGAAAATCCCCAAAAAGAAAATACTTTCATCATCATTCAACACTTTCACCACACTCACACATTATCACTGTTTTTGCAGAGGTGCTCAGAATACAACAGTTTAGAAGCATATACGTATAAAGATACACAACATATCCCTCCAAACTGCCAATATCCCAAATCCCTCCTTTAAAGTGCAGGCATTGTACTTCCCATTTCCAGGACTCAAGTCCGACTATATGAAAATAACCGGTTTCCCTGAATCCCTTCACTAAATATTACCCTGCTCACACTCCAACAGATCGTCAGGTCCCAAGTATCATTCGTCTCCATTCACTCCTATCTAATACGCTCATGCACAACATACATAGCAACATAAATTACTCACCAGGATAACAAAAAAAGCCAGACAAAGTGAATTACTTCCATTGGGGGTGTTAAAAAAAGAATTTGATCACATGACATTGTTTTTATTCTCATTGATGATGACAAAATATATTATTATTATTATTATTATTATTATTCAAAAAAATATTGAACCCATATCATTCACTTAGGGCAAGACATTATTGTTTGGGCAGTGATCAAGTTTATTATTTTTAAAGTAATTTTTATGGAGATAAAAATAGTAAATTTAAAGGTAATTAAGTATACAGTGGAACCTTGAAAACCGAACGTACCAAATATCGAATGTTTCGAAAATAAGACCATTTTTTTCGGACAAACTGTGTACCAAAAATCGAACGCATTTCAAATTTTGGACCGCCGGGTGCGGGACCTGTCCACTGGCCCACTCTGTCCACGTCCCCGCGCAGGCGCCGTGAGCAGTCTAGCTTTGTTTATGCTTGAGTGAACACTAACCTGCGCTCTCATTCACACATTTTACGATTATTTAATTGTGTTTAGTGCTTGTGGGGCTGTGAAATAAGCTGCCATGGGCCCAAAGAAACTTGCTAGTGGTACCCCTGTGGTAAAGAAAGTGAGAAACACCATAGATGTGAAGAAGGAAATAATACAGAAGTATGAGATTGGAGTGAGACTTGTTGAGCATGCCAAGATGTACAGAGGACTGTGGACAGTTATTTTGTGAAACAGAAACAGACGACTGTGGAGTTATTTTGTGAGACAGAAACAGACGACTGTGGAGTTATTTTGTGAGACAGAAACAGACGACTGTGGAGTTATTTTGTGAGACAGAAACAGACGACCGTGGAGTTATTTTGTGAGACAGAAACAGACGACTGTGGAGTTATTTTGTGAGACAGAAACAGACGACTGTGGACAGTTATTTTGTGAGACAGAAACAGACGACTGTGGAGTTATTTTGTGAGACAGAAACAGACGACTGTGGACAATTATTTTGTGAGACAGAAACAGACGACTGTGGACAATTATTTTGTGAGACAGAAACAGACAACTGTGGACAGTTATTTTGTGAGACAGAAACAGACAACTGTGGAGTTATTTTGTGAGACAGAAACAGACGACTGTGGAGTTATTTTGTGAGACAAACAGACGATTGTGGACAGTTATTTTGTGAGACAGAAACAGACGACTGTGGACAGTTATTTTGTGAAACAGAAACAGACGACTGTGGATAGTTATTTTGTGAGACAGAAACAGAGGACTGTAGACAGTTATTTTGTGAGACTGGGGTCCAATGACTCTCAAGCTGGTCCTAGTGGCATTAAAATGCAGAGAAGGGAAGCAACCCCAGAGAGGGCTTTGATACCGGAAGTCCTCATGGAGGGGGATTCTCCTTCCAAACAATAACCCCAACTCCCTCTCTCCTCCTCCCTATTTTCCAGATGCCATCACCAATCTTCAATAAAGGTAAGTAAAAATGTTATTTTATATTACTATACATAATTAAAGACTATATGTGTGTATGTAAAACTGCCAATATTGGCAGTTTGGAGGGATATGTTGTGTATCTTTATACGTATATGCTTATAAACTGTTGTATTCTGAGCACCTCTGCAAAAACAGTGATAATGTGTGAGTGTGGTGAAAGTGTTGAATGATGAAAGTATTTTCTTTTTGGGGATTTTCTTTCTTTTTTGGGTCACCCTGCCTCGGTGGGAGATGGCCGACTTGTTGAAAAAAAAAAAAATGTAAAACTGTAATTAATCTCTATAAAATGTATTATTTTTGTGAATATTTTTGGGTTTCTGGAACGGATTAATTGTATTTCCATTATTTCTTATGGGAAATATTGCTTCAAATTTAGAACTAGCTCCTGGAACGGATTAAGTTCGATTTTTGAGGTTCCACTGTATATCTCCATGAATAAAGGGACGTAAAATATGTAACATTCTTTCGCAAGAGACTAAAGGTGGTAAAATTTTAAAAGACTACAAAACGTATCCTAAATTTCATGTAGCATTTCCACAATATCTCTTTCATCATATTTGTAGTGGTGAAATATGCAAAAAAAAAAAAAATATTTGCTCAGAGTATACAGGAGGGCCCCGCTTTACGGCGTTCCGCTTTACGGCGTTCCGCTAATACGGACATTTCAAATTATGACCAAAACTCACTATACGGCTCCCCCCACCTGACTTTCTAATACGGTCACCGTGCCCCACCCTGTTTGTTTACATTCTCCATGAGCTCAGTAAGCACTAAGTCTCTCCATTTTGTCTGGAAACTCCAAAATTTCAAATGTTTTTAAAAGTTATTTCATATTTTATATATACTCTGATAATTATACTTATGTATACCTGTACCTAAATAAACTTACATACATCGAGTCATTTAAATGTCGTATATTACGTTAATATACACATTTTCATTAATCCATCCATGATATTTTTTTCAAAATTATATAATAAACACGATGCATAACATATAAATAAGATAAATACACCCCACAGTAGAATAAATAAACAAATGTGAGATGTGAGCAGACGACTTGCACAAGTGGTGATAATAACAATACTGAGTCTCATTAAATGTCGTATATTACGGTAATATACACATTTTCATTAATCCATCCATGATATTTTTTTCAAAATCATATAATAAACACGATGCATAACATATAAATAAGATAAATACACCCCACAGTAGAATAAATAAACAAATGTGAGATGTCGTAGCAGACGACTTGCACAAGTGGTGATAATAACAATACCGAGTCTCATTAAATGTCGTATATTACGGTAATATACACATTTTCATTCATCCATCCATGATATTTTTTTCAAAATTATATAATAAACACGATACATAACATAAAAAGATGATAAATACACCCCACAATAGAATAAATAAACATAAATATAAGATGTGGGAGCCACATAACTTGTACAAGTGACGCCAAGAATAACATTTTCTCTAATCTAACATAAGAGTAAATGTGTTACTGGGGGTAACTGTAGAAAATTATTCCTTTCGTATGTATGTAAGTAAGTTTATTCAGGTATACACAAATACAGTTACATAGATTATCATACATAACAACATACGTGTAGAGAACCTAGGATAACCCAAAAAAGTCAGTGTGACTTATTTCCATTGCCTTCACTCAGAGCTTCATTTCTTCTCAAAATGATGTTACATGAGAATGGGAGTGTTCTTCTTTATTAATTCTACCGTATCAATGTAGAGACAACCTGTACACAATGTAACTTGTACACAAACCAGACGTGTACATTTCGTTTGTTTACAAAACTTACCTTCCCCTGGTTTGTTTACATAACTGCGCCTGCCCCCTCTCATGTATTCATTCTTTCTCTCTCTCATTTATTCGTTTTATCTCATTTACTTACTCCTGACCCTACATTAAGACTACAAATATTTTAAGGTAAGTAATGAGTGAACTGTATATACATTTTATCGCTCTGGGATGCTTAAATATCATAGAATAGTATGTGTGGGTGGGGTGGCCTGGTGAGGCTATTACAATACATACCACACTTGATTTCTTACAATAAATACTACTTGTCTCACCCTAGATTAAGACTATAAATATTTTAAGGTAAGTAATGAGTGCACTATGTGTGTATTGTACCTTTTTATTGTTTTTTGATGCCTGGTTCTATTGCTAACTTAATATATGTTAGTGTAAACTTGTTATCTAGTGTTTGTATGCATTTATAAGTGGAAAAAAAGGGTGTTCCACTTTACGGCGATTTCCGCTTTACGGCGGTAGCCTGGAACCTAACCCGCCGTATAAGTGGGGCCCTACTGTATATGCAATTGCAGTGTAATAATTGACAATTTCATTTATATAACATTAACTTAAATACAGTTAGGTATTATAAACATATAGTATATTGCCAGGGCTTAAAACATTCTTTTCACTGATTTATACACGTAACTAACTTTTTCATTATTGCATTTAACCCTAAACTGTCCAAACGTAGATCTACGTTTGCTCGCATAGCACTCCGAACATAGATCTACGTTTTTTACATGGTTTCTTATGGAGAAAAATCAAGAGCGCTATGCGTGCAAACGTAGATCTACGTTTGCTCGCATAGCACTCCGAACATAGATCTACGTTTTTTACATGGTTTCTTATGGAGAAAAATCAAGGGCGCTATGCGTGCAAACGTAGATCTACGTTTGCTCGCATAGCACTCCGAACATAGATCTACGTTTTTTACATGGTTTCTTATGGAGAAAAATCAAGAGCGCTATGCGTGCAAACGTAGATCTACGTTTGCTCGCATAGCACTCCGAACATAGATCTACGTTTTTTACATGGTTTCTTATGGAGAAAAATCAAGAGCGCTATGCGTGCAAACGTAGATCTACGTTTGCTCGCATAGCACTCCGAACATAGATCTACGTTTTTTTACATGGTTTCTTATGAGAAAAAATCAAGGGCGCTATGCGTGCAAACGTAGATCTACGTTTGCTCGCATAGCACCCCGAACATAGATCTACGTTTTTTACATGGTTTCTTATGGAGAAAAATCAAGGGCGCTATGCGTGCAAACGTAGATCTACGTTTGCTCGCATAGCACTCCGAACATAGATCTACGTTTTTTACATGGTTTCTTATGGAGAAAAATCAAGAGCGCTATGCGTGCAAACGTAGATCTACGTTTGCTCGCATAGCACTCCGAACATAGATCTACGTTTTTTACATGGTTTCTTATGGAGAAAAATCAAGAGCGCTATGCGTGCAAACGTAGATCTACGTTTGCTCGCATAGCACTCCGAACATAGATCTACGTTTTTTACATGGTTTCTTATGGAGAAAAATCAAGGGCGCTATGCGTGCAAACGTAGATCTACGTTTGCTCGCATAGCACTCCGAACATAGATCTACGTTTTTTACATGGTTTCTTATGGAGAAAAATCAAGAGCGCTATGCGTGCAAACGTAGATCTACGTTTGCTCGCATAGCACTCCGAACATAGATCTACGTTTTTTACATGGTTTCTTATGGAGAAAAATCAAGGGCGCTATGCGTGCAAACGTAGATCTACGTTTGCTCGCATAGCACTCCGAACATAGATCTACGTTTTTTACATGGTTTCTTATGGAGAAAAATCAAGAGTGCTATGCGTGCAAACGTAGATCTACGTTTGCTCGCATAGCACTCCGAACATAGATCTACGTTTTTTACATGGTTTCTTATGGAGAAAAATCAAGAGCGCTATGCGTGCAAACGTAGATCTACGTTTAGACGGTTTAAGGGTTAAATGTCATTTTATTTTTATAAAATTAAATTTTTGGTATAAACAAATTTTTAATTACGCATTCTACATCTTTTTTAAAGAACTTTAAGACATCATCCTATGCCAGGATTAAAGTGCCGCACACACTGACGTAATGAGACCCACTTAGACGGTAGATGTGTTCCAGGCTCATGGTCGCTCTTACCTCACTCTGACCATCAGTTATGCAATAATCTTCACTATGTTTTATGAACAACATTGATTTGATAAATGTATACAGTGGACCCCCGCATAACGATCACCTCCGAATGCGACCAATTATGTAAGTGTATTTATGTAAGTACGTTTGTACGTGTATGTTTGGGGGTCTGAAATGGACTAATCTACTTCACAATATTCCTTATGGGAATAAATTCGGTCAGTACTGGCACCTGAACATACTTATGGAGTGAAAAAATATCGTTAACCGGGAGTCCACTGTATTTCACATGTTAGTGTATTTTCTGGCATATAAGGCACAATAGCATTATGAGTATTGCAACTATATTATAGGAGGGCCCTGCTTATAGCAGGTTAAGTTACTGGCTACTGCTGTAAACTGAAACATTAACCCCTTGACTGTCGCAACCCCCAATCCTGAGGTGTCTCCTGGTGTCGCAAAATTTAAAAAAAAAAAAAAAAATATTTTTTCTTATGAAATGATAGAGAATCTTTTCCCGATTGTAATGACACTTAAAAAAATAAAAATTGATAGAAAACTGACGGAATTACGCTCTCGCGAAGTTAGCGACCTCGGCGATATTTGCAAATCAGCGATTTCGCCCATTTTGAGCCCTATTTTCGGCTGATTCCATTGTTCCAGTAGACCAAACTCATAGCTATTTCTTTAGAAATCCATTTTTTCTATCGATTGAGTACAAGAAACTGTCCATTTACCAATTTCAACTACCCAATAATGTGGTCAGAAATTTGCAATTTGGCCAGTTTCATGAAAATTAAAAAATATGACGATTTCAAAATAGGGTCCAGAATGAACAATGCAGACATTCCTGGCTCTAAAATAACATTTTCTTTGTTCATCAGTCATGTCTCCAGGCCCCTCTGATATTACTCTTGCTTTCTATTTTGAATTTTTATTCAAACAAAAAATAGAAGATTTACTGTTATGCAGACTACTGCAATACTGTAATAATTGTGCAGATAATGTCAACTCATTCATGACTGCATATTAGAATGGCTAGTTGGATATTTATTGGACAATGACATCATTTGTTTACTTTTGAACATCGGCAAAAAATCAAACATTTCCCCTACTTTGAGCTCCATTTCCAGGTTCTTTTTATAGTAAAACCAATCAAAATCACCTCTATTTCTATAATATGTTTTCCATTCTATCAAATGAGACCAAGAAAATGAGTATACATCCATAAATACTATACGAAAATAGGCCACAAAGTCGGCATTTTAATTAAAAAAACGGTCGGAGTTTTTTTTTTTCTCATTATGCACTGCGTGCTCCAGGATTTTTTTTATATGGTGCACACTGACCACACAGACCCATTCTCTCACATGTGGGCCTACCAGCTTTCTCCTGCTTGATTTGAAGCCGCTAGAATTTATGAGTATACTATATACATCAAACACGGTACCTCGTAAGACGTATATATACGACCGAAACAGTCAGAGGGTTAAAATATAGCCTAGTTTCACTTTCAAGTGCAAATGAAAGCCTGATAGTTTCTTGACACTATCATATATTGAGCAATAGAGCTAGACCTAAAAAATGTATATATATATTGTACACACATTACTTACCTTAAAATATTTTCATCCTTAGTTTATAGTGAGTGGTGAATGTATTTATTGCAGGAAGGCTGAATAAATGAAGACTAGGTATGATTCAAAGCCGCTGTAAAGTGGGGCCCTCCTGTATAATATGCCACATGTCCATTTATAAAATTCCACTGTCAGTAACACAGTCTACCATTGAGCATGTAAGGTGCAGGCTGATTTTCCAAGACTTTTCTTTGGAAAAAAAATGGTGCCTTATATGCTGGAAAATGCAGTAAATTATCCATGGAAGTGGGACACTGCATAATAGCTAATTCATGTATAGTGAACCTGCATAAACTGAGGGAAGCCTGCACTGTAAAAGAGATCTGTATATTTCACTCTCTTTCCGAGACCCACTTTGGCAGATCTACTGAAGAGGGTCTTTGACTGAGGCTGAAATGTTCAGATCTCTCTAGTCTTAGCTTCACCTTTTCTGTCCAAGTGGTTTCTCACTTTATTATCGTACAATTAAAAGGATGTTTACATCAACAGATCTACAACGTGTTTGCACTCTTCTGGTCGATGTTCTTTGTTTCTGCCTTTGGTGAGATGGTGTTAGCTGGGACATTTGCTTCATGGTATTGGGCCTTCAACAAGTCCAAGGATGTCCCAACTCTGCCAGTCACAAGCAGTTTTTGCAGAACTATCAGGTAATACATACTGAGTTTTTTTTTTTTTTTTTTGTAAATATTTTTCTTAATATCAGTTGGGAGGGTTAGTAATCCAGGATAATCTAAGAAACCCAATCAGTTTGGCTAAATTTCCTTAGGGTCTTGATTCTGTTGTCTGAGGTGTGACCCACAACAGTTAAAACATAGGTACTGTACCTACTTAAGTGTTAGGTGAACTTGGTCAATAGGTATATCTTTGATGTACCTTTGAAGGCTTTTGAGAGTTTTTTTTTAGTCTTGCAGCCCAGCCTGGTCAGGCTAGTCTGGTGTTTGCTTGATCAACTAGGCTGTTAATGCTGGCAGCCCACATATCCATCACAGCATGGTTGATCTGGCACTTGGAGGAGATATATGTCCAATTTCCTCTTGAAAATTACTACAGTTGTTCCTTCAGTGTTTCTGATATCTTGTGGTAGAGTGTTAAACATTCTGGGACCACAGATGTTGATAGTGTTCTCTTATTGTGCTCATGGCACTGGGTCTGTTTTACACATTCTCCCATATCTCTATGTTGTTATGGCAGTGTACGATAACTTTGTGTAAAAAAACATACCCATACTTTCCATTAATGCTGGGTTTGAAGGCAGGTTCTCAAAAGTTTGAAACTAAAGATGCTACCACTTGAGCTACGAACCATCAACTTCAACCACTTTGAACCATCAGCTTAGCCACTAACTTGGGCTACGAACCATTAACTTGAGTCACCACTACTGTTTTGTTCACGACTTTGAGTTAGTTTTAAATTTTTCTAACTATGGCATTGTGGCTTATTTTTCTCAGCTGTGTGCAAGCATGTGGAGCGTGTTAGGTAGGAGTGAATGGAGACAAATGGTTTTTAGGACTTGATGTGCTATTGGAGTGTGAGCAGGGTAATATTTATGAAGGTATTCAGGGAAACCAGGCAGGCTGGACTTGAGTACTGGAGATGGGAAGTACAGTGCCTGCACTCTGAAGGAGGGGTTTGGAATATTTGCTGTTTAAAGGGACATCTAAACTGTCATGTCTGTATGCATCTGGCAAGACACTGATAGTGGGAACAGTGGTGAAAGTATTTCTTTTTTGGGTCACCCTGCCTTGGTGGGAGATGGCAGTGTGTTAAAAAAAATATATTTGTTCATTTCAGATACCACATTGGTACATTGGCATTTGGCTCTCTCATCATCGCCATCGTGCGCATGATTCGAGTGATACTGGAGTACATCGATCACAAGATAAGAGAGAAAACAGATAGCAAGATCATACGCTGTATCATGTGCTGCTGTCGCTGCTGTCTCTGGTGCTTGGAAAAGTTCCTTAAATTTATTAATAGGTAAATTCAACCAACCTTTTACTTTAACATTTAAGTAAATTATTGTCGTAGCTCTGGTGTTTCTCGGGCTTTTATTTTTTAGCCTTTTTCTGCCCTCTTTGACAAAGTTAAATTAGTAATGATGATATAAAATATCTCTATGGGAAAATGGAACAGAGTTCTTCCTCCATAAACCATGCATGTCATAAGAGGCGACTAAAATGTCGGGAGCAAGGGGCTAGTAACCTCTTCCCCGGTATAGAGTACTAAATTTAAAGAGAGGAATTTTGTGTTTCTTTTTGGGTCACCCCGCCTCAGTGGGATATAAAACAATGATTTTTTTATTTTTAAATACAAAATTATGTAATTTTTTCAATATGGTGTATGTTCATACCACTGCTTTAATAATTATAACAAAAAATGAAATGTCAAATGAATTAATAACTACGAGCTTTATGATTCCTCACTCACTACAAAGACATTTACAGCCTCTACTCACTTACCGACATACTCGTTTACCGACAACTCGGACTTACAAGGGACTCTCTGACCAGTATGCATACCTAAATAATGTACACCTACCATCCGACTTATGACCGAGTTCGGTTCCGAGAAACCGGTCGTAAGTCGAAATGGTCGTAAGTCGAACTTTACTACTGAATATCAACAAAACATTTTTGTAATGACTATTTTATTGTTTTATTTTGGTATTTCATGTTTTACTTTACTTTTTATGCTGTTAGTACTGTATTTTATACTGTAAGGTTTAGGATAAACACTGTGTACAACACAAATAGTTGTTTATTTCCCAGAAATTTGGCATAAAAAACACGGTCGTAAGTCGAATGGTCGTAAGTCGAGCAGGTCGTAAGTCGGATGGTAGGTGTATATAAGAGCTGATTTCTTCTATTCTGTTTATTGCAATATACAGTACACTACAGTACTGTATAAACATTTAAAAATATACTAAAAATGTTATAAATGGTGCAGAGGTGACATTAAAACAGTATCAGTGATGGGTAATACAAACCCACTACCATTATAGTTTGCTCCACACTTAGTAATGAATTAGTTTACTGACATGATTTTAGGAACAAAATTCTGTCACTGAATGAGGAGAGGCTGTATTGAACTTTTTTACTTGCCTGTGTTGGAAGATATGTCTCTCATTTGAATGTGCAATAAACACTTGATTCTTTTTCTTAGTGCCTCCCTATTGTTCCCTTATTTTGCCACCTCTGAATTTTAAAAACATCCATTAATTGCTTCGGTTAACGACCTAAAGTTGAAAAAGAGTAATGTTGATTTCTTTAGCTCTATGCATACTGTCTCATTTTTGTGTCCGTCCTGCCACAAATATTCACCATGTGATATTTTTTGAAAAATTAAATAATTTTCTAATATGTTGCTTCCCCTCATCTCATAACTTCATCTTTTCCTTTCCTATCTGCCTTTCTCAAACATCCAAATAGATGACTGTGAATAGACTACTTACTGATATTTCACATCCTCAGAGAAGAAAAAAATGGCATTGAACACAGAGATGAGCGAGGTTTGGAATATAGGGTGTTTCAAAAAGATCAACCCAATTTGTATAATCTTGCAGTGATGCAGTAGGTCAAAGCTGACTCATGGATACACCGGCCATATCCCACCAAAGCAGAGTGACCTAAAAAGAAAAACGAAAGTTGTAAAAAGAAAAATGAAAGTTTTTTTTTTTTTTCTTCAACAAGTCGGCCGTCTCCCACCGAGGCAGGGTGACCCAAAAAAGAGATAAAATACCCAAAAAGAAAATACTTTCATCATCATTCAAAACTTTCACCACACTCACACATTATCACAGTTTTTGCAGAGGTGCTCAGAACACAACAGTTTAGAAGCTATACATCTAAAGATACCAAACATATCCCCCCAAACTGCAATATCCAAACCCCCCTTTACAGTGCAAGGCATTGTACTTCCCATTTCCGGACGAACCCCCAGGAAGTATTACCGTCTGCCAGATGACGTGAAACAGAAACTGTAACTGTTTTGCATGATGGTCGATTCATGGTTATCTTTCTGTCTCTTAACACGCTAGGGTAACAGGGATATCTGCTACTCCTACTTTACACTTTGGTCCCCACTTTCAGACACGCTCATGCATATATATATACATACATCTAGGTTTTTTCCTTTTTCTAAATAGCTCTTGTTCTTCTGTATTTCTTCTATTGTCCATGGGAAGTGGAAAAGAATCTTTTCCTCCGTAAGCCATGCGTGTCGTATGAGGCGACTAAAATTTTCCGGAAATGGGCTAGTAACCCCTTCCTGTAGACACTTTCTAAAAAAGAGAAGAAGTAAAAACTTTATAAAACTGGGAAGCTTAAATGTGCGTGGATGTAGTGCGGATGACAAGAAACTTAAGATTGCTGATGTTATGAATGAAAGAAGTTGGATGTCCTGGCCCTAAGCAAAACAAAGGAGGGGGTAGGAGAGTTCAGTGGGGGAAATAAATGGATTAAATCTGGAGTATCTGAGAGAGTTAGAGCAAAGGAAGGGGTAAGCAGTAATTTTAAATGATCAGTTTTGGAAGGAGAAAGAGATATGAAGGTGTAAATTCAAGATATGTGGATTAAAGTAAAGGTTGGATGTGAGAAGTGGGTCATAAATCGCAGTGTATGCACCTGGAGAAGAGAGGAATGCAGAGGAGAGAGAGATTTGGGAGTGTTAAGTGAATGTATAGGAGCCTTGAACAAGTGAGAGAGTAATGTTGTAGGGGCCCCGATGCTAAAGTAGGAAGAAACTTTTTAGAGAGGTGTGGTAGGTAAGTTTGGGTTGCCCAGGTGTAATGATAATGGGAGCCCTTTGATTGAACTTTGTATAGAAAGGGGTTATTATAGGTAATACAATATTTTAAGAAAAGGATAAATAAGTATACAAGGTATGATGTGGCGAAATGCAGTAGTTTGTTGGATATGTGTTAGTAGTAAATGACTGTTGAGTAACTTCAGGATTGTACATGTTTATAGAGGGCCACAGATATATCAATCAACTTTCTTTGTAGCTACACTGAGAGTAAAGGTAGATGGGATACAAGGGAATAGAAGCATCAGGGAAGAGAGAGGTGAAGGTTTATAATCTAAAAGAGGAGGCAGTTAGGGTAAGATATAAACAGCTATTGGAGGATAGATGGGCTAATGAGAGCATAGGCAATGGGGTCGAAGAGGTATGGGGTAGGTTTAAAAATGTAGTGTTAGAGTGTTCAGCAGAAGTTTGTGGTTACAGGAAGTGGGTGCGGGAGGGAAGAGGAGCGATTGGTGGAATGATGATGTAAAGAGAGTAGTAAGGGAGAAAAAGTTAGCATATGAGAAGTCTTACAAAGTAGAAGTGATGCAAGGAGGGAAGAGTATATGGAGAAAAAGAGAGAGGTTAAGAGAGTGGGTGAAGCCAATGTAAAAAGAGAGCAAATGAGAGAGTGGGTGAGATGTTATCAACAAATTTTGTTGAAAATAAGAAAAAGTTTTGGAGTGAGATTAACAAGTTAAGAAAGCTAGAGAACAAATGGATTTGTCAGTTAAAAATAGGAGAGGAGAGTTATTAAATGGAGAGTTAGAGGTATTGGAAGATGGAGGAATATTTTGAGGAATTGTTAAATGTTGATGAAGATAGGGAAGCTGTGATTTCATGTATAGGACAAGGAGGAATAACATCTTGTATGGAGTGAGGAAGAGCCAGTTGTGAGTGTGGGGGAAGTTCGTGAGGCAGTAGGTAAAATGAAAGGGGGTAAGGCAGCCGGGATTGATGGGATAAAGATAGAAATGTTAAAAAGCAGGTGGGGATATAGTTTTGGAGTGGTTGGTGCAATTATTTAATAAATGTATGGAAGAGGGTAAGGTACCTAGGGATTGGCAGAGAGCATGCATAGTTCCTTTGTATAAAGGCAAAGGGATAAAAGAGAGGCAAAAATTATAGGGGGATAAGTTTGCTGAGTATACCTGGTAAAGTGTATGGTAGAATTATTATTGAAAGAATTAAGAGTAAGACGGAGAATAGGATAGCAGATGAACAAGGAGGCTTTAGGAAAGGTAGGGGGTGTGTGGACCAGGTGTTTACAGTGAACATATAAGTGAACAGTATTTAGATAAGGTTAAAGAGGTCTTTGTGGCATTTATGGATTTGGAAAAGGCGTATGACAGGGTGGATAGGGGGGCAATGTGGCAGATGTTGCAAATGTATGGTGTAGGAGGTAGGTTACTGAAAGCAGTGAAGAGTTTTTACGAGGATAGTGAGGCTCAAGTTAGAGTATGTAGGAAAGAGGGAAATTATTTCCCAGTAAAAGTAGGCCTTAGACAAGGATGTGTGATGTCACTGTGGTTGTTTAATATATTTATAGATGGGGTTGTAAGAGAAGTAAATGCGAGGGTCTTGACAAGAGGCGTGGAGTTAAAAGATAAAGAATCACACACAAAGTGGGAGTTGTCACAGCTGCTCTTTGCTGATGACACTGTGCTCTTGGGAGATTCTGAAGAGAAGGTGCAGAGATTGGTGGATGAATTTGGTAGGGTGTGCAAAAGAAGAAAATTAAAGGTGAATACAGGAAAGAGTAAGGTTATGAGGATAACAAAAAGATTAGGTGATGAAAGATTGAATATCAGATTGGAGGGAGAGGTATGGAGGAGGTGAATGTATTCAGATATTTGGGAGTGGACGTGTCAGCGGATGGGTCTATGAAAGATGAGGTGAATCATAGAATTGATGTGGGAAAAAGAGTGAGTGGTGCACTTAGGAGTCTGTGGAGACAAAGAACTTTGTCCTTGGAGGCAAAGAGGGGAATGTATGAGAGTATAGTTTTTACCAACGCTCTTATATGGGTGTGAAGCATGGGTGATGAATGTTGCAGCGAGGAGAAGGCTGGAGGCAGTGGAGATGTCATGTCTGAGGGCAATGTGTGGTGTGAATATAATGCAGAGAATTCGTAGTTTGGAAGTTAGGAGGAGGTGCGGGATTACCAAAACTGTTGTCCAGAGGGCTGAGGAAGGGTTGTTGAGGTGGTTCGGACATGTGGGGAGAATGGAGCGAAACAGAATAACTTCAAGAGTGTATCAGTCTGTAGTGGAAGGAAGGCGGGGTAGGGGTCGGCCTAGGAAAGGTTGGAGGGAGGGGGTAAAGGAGGTTTTGTGTGCGAGGGGCTTGGACTTCCAGCAGGCATGCGTGAGCGTGTTTGATAGGAGTGAATGGAGACAATGGTTTTTAATACTTGACGTGCTGTTGGAGTGTGAGCAAAGTAACATTTATGAAGGGGTTCAGGGAAACCGGCAGGCCGGACTTGAGTCCTGGAGATGGGAAGTACAGTGCCTGCACTCTGAAGGAGGGGTGTTAATGTTGCAGTTTAAAAACTGTAGTGTAAAGCACCCTTCTGCAAGACAGTTTATGGAGTGAAGATGGTGAAAGTTTTCTTTTTCGGGCCACCCTGCCTTGGTGGGAATCGGCAGTGTGATAATAAAAAAAAATAAAAAAAAATAAGTCCGACTAATGAAAATAGCCGGTTTCCTAAATCCCTTCACTAAAATTACCGCTCAACCCCAACAGATCGTCAGGTCCCAAGTCCTTCGCCCATTCACCCACTAACACGCCAGCACCTTGCGGGAAGCCCAAGCCCCGCCCCAAAAAAACCCCCTTTTACCCCTCTCCCAATCTTTTGGGACGACCCCTACCCCCCCCTCCCCTAAGATTTTTATGCTTTCCCATGTCATTCTCTTTGATCCATTCTAAACCCTACTTTGTCTTTTTCAAAATTTTTCATTTAACCCTACTGAAATTTTTTCCCGGGTTACCATAAACTTATTCCTTTAATTTTTAAAATTCTTTTGCCCCCTTCCCTTTTTTAAAAAAGGGGGGACAACTGCTCTCCGCCAATCCCTAGGTCCTTCCCTTTTATACTTTTTTAAAACAAAAGTCCCAACCCACCCCAAAACACTTTTCCCCCCCCTGTTTTAAAACATTTCTGTCTGACCCCATCATTTCCGTGTTTTACCCCTTTCTTCTAGTAATGCCTCAGTCCTCCCCCACCTTGCATTGCTGTATTCACTCCCCAAAAAATGGTATACCCCCCTGACCCGTGCATGAAATTACGCCTCCCTTTCTTCTTTAAAAATTAAAGTTCCTCAAAATATTCCGCCTCACCTAATACCTCCATCTCCCCACTACTAACCCCCTACTCTGTTTTTAACTGACAAATCCATTTTCCTTGGCTTTCTTAATTATTTAACGCACCCCAAAATTTTTTTTTATTTCATTAAAAATTTTTTTTACGTGCCTCTCCCACTCTATCATCTGCTCTCCTTTTGCACTCTCTCACCACCCTCTTCACCTTTTTTTACTCTCCATATACTTGCTCTTCTTATAACACTTCTGCTTTGTAAAAACCTCTCATAAGCTCCTTTTTCTTTTTATCACACCCTTTACTTCTCATTCCACCAATCACTCCTCTTTCTCCTGCCCCCACCCTCTTAAAACCCACAAACTTCTGCCCCATTCTAATACTGCATTTTTAAAACTATTCCAACCCTCTTCAACCCTCCCCACTACTCATCTTTGCACTAGCCCACCTTTCTGCAATAGTCGCTTAATTTCACCTGAACTTCCTCCTCCCTTAGTTTATACACTTTCCTCCCCCCTTACTTGTTGTTGCCACCTTCCTCTTTCCCATCTACCTCTTACTCTAAACTGTAGCTATAACTAAATAATGTTCCGATATATCAGCTGCCCCTCTATGAACATGTACATCCTGGACCCTACCCATCAACCTTTTATCCACCAATACATAATCTAACAAACTACTTTCATTACGTGCTACGTCATACCTTGTGTATTTATTTATCCTCTTTTTCATAAAAATATGTATTATTATTACCAAATCTCTTTCTACAATAGCTCAATTAAAGGCTCCCCATTTAAAATTTACCCTGGCACCCCAAATTTACCTACTATTTGCCTCTTTAACATTTTTTACCCACTTTAGCATTGAAATCCCAACCACCATTACTCTCACACTTGATTCAAAACCCCCCACACATTCACTCAACATTTTCATTTCCCAAAACTTTTCTCTCTCCTCTACACTTCTCTCTTCTCAGGTGCATACACGCTTACTATAACCCACTTTTCACTCCAATCTTTATTATATCCACATAATCCTTGAATTAATACATTTATAGTCCCTTTTCCTGCCATAGCTTATCCTTCAACATTATTGCTATCCTTCTTTAGCTCTAACTCTATTTGAAACCCTGACCTAATCCCTTTTATTCCTCTCCATTGAAACTCTCCCACCCCCTTCAGCTTTGTTTCACTTAAAGCCAGGACATCCAGCTTCTTCTCATTCATAACATCCACAATCATCTCTTTCTTATCATTTGCACAACATCCACGCACATTTTTGGGCTTCCCACTTTGACAATTTTCTTCTTCTTATTCTTTTTAGTAATCTTTACAGGGGAAAAAGGGGGTTTCTAGCTCATGTTCCCCGGGATTTTAGTTGACTTTTACAACCGCATGGCTTACGGAGGAAAGATTCTTATTCCACTTCCCCATGGATATAAAAGGAAAAGTAATAAGACCAAGAACTATTAAGATAAAATCAAAGAAAACTCAGATGAGTGTGTATAAATAAACGTGTACATGTATGTGTAGTGTGACCTAAGTGTAAGTAGAAGTAGCAAGACATACCTGTAATCTTGCATATTTATGAGACAGACAAAAGAAACCAGCAATCCTACCATCATGTAAAACAATTACAGGCTTTCGTTTTACACTCACTTGGCAGGACGGTAATACCTCCCTGAGTGGTTGCTGTCTACCAACCTACTACCTACATTTAGTAATTTATACAGGAGGAGGGGTTACTAGGCCTTTGCTGCCAACTTCATGGCTTACAGAGGAAGAATTCTTTTCTATTTCCCAATGATGTCTTATTATATGTGGAAGAAAATAATACTTTTACCAATTTCTTTTTAGACTGGTTTAAATCACATTTCGGTGAAAGGTCACGTGTTCAGCTAATGTGACATTTTATTGTGGCATTTCACTTGTGTCCAATTACTTAACATATTGTCAATAATTCTACCAACATTATTACAGAATCACATTTTGTTTGTCTCATCGCTGTCGAATTATCAAATACTGTTCTGTGCCGCGCCTTTACATCGTTAATTCATTTTTTGCTTTAACACGTCAGCCATTTTTCACAAAGGCAGGGTGATTTAAAGAAGTGCATCGATGTAAATATAAATAAAACCAATACTCTCTAAGTAATTTAATTGTAATTTTTTATTTCAGAAATGCATATGTGTATTGTGCCATATATGGAAAGAATTTCTGCGTGTCGGCCAAAAATGCCTTCTCACTAATCATGAGGAACATAGCCCGTGTGGTTGTACTGGATAAGGTAAGCGGCTGTATATAGTTATATTTACTGAGTGAACAACTAAAAATTCATACCCAGAGCTACCGCCCATAATTTTAACATTGACAGGGACAGTGGAAACCAGACATTATTTCAAAATTCACCCTTAAGAAGTGCACACCAGCAAGCAAGCAGCCTAATACAGAATTCCAGCACAAGATCAGGAATTACCATATCTTCTGGCATATAAGACTCACAACAGAAGTATCATAACAGTAAATCAGTGATCATATTGATAAACTAATGACCCTGATACTTTATGCTAAAGCATAACCCAAAACCTGTTTGCTGGAGATGATGTAGCTTATATGGGTAGGTGATAACTGTATAAATGAGGTTAGGTATTGATGAGAGGAGGGGGTGAGACTGAGATGACAGGTTTGTATAGTTTGTTATGTGAATCACAAACAGTGTGGGCAATAGACCCAGCCAACATGTACATTTTTTTTGTTTTGCTCAGTGGTAATGGTGAGATAGATTATAATTACAGCTGCTTCCAAAATTCTGAGTCTGACTCTGTCATACTCATGGTGTAACAGTTGTGTTCTTACCAAGTTCATGTGAAAATGAAGGTTGCAGTGGACAATGCATGTGTTGTTAGCTTTATGTATGTTCCTTAAGGCTTGTTCGAAGCTCTTGGCCAGTCTGTCCAACATTTAGCACATCCACCAGGCTGTATGCTGCTTCTGTTGATCTTTTTTATAGATTTGGTGGTAAGGATTGCTGCACCCAAGTTGGCTTTTTGGATAATTGGGACAGTAGTCTTGGCAGTCTGCCCAGCGGAGAGGATCAGTCGTTTAGCAGTGTTAGTATCCTCTGGGTATACTGTGTCTAAAGGCTTTATGTTTGAAGGTGATGACAATGTGTTGGGATTTTTAAGTTGGCAAATACATACCCCCCTCAGTGTATTCTTTTTCTTTTAAATGATATTTGCCACTGTAAATTTGGAGGACTCATAGGAAGAAACTTACGATAACTCCCTGCTTGGGTTCAAGGTTATGGTTGGAAAGTAGTGTGCCAGGTCGTGTATACTGATGGATTTTCTGTATACAGTGGACCCCCGGTTAACGATATTTTTTCATTCCAGAAGTATGTTCAGGTGCCAGTACTGACCGAATTTGTTCCCATAAGGAATATTGTGAAGTAGATTAGTCCATTTCAGACCCCCAAACATACACGTACAAACGCACTTACATAAATACACTTACATAATTGGTCACATTGGGAGGTGATCGTTAAGCCCCGGGGGTCCACTGTATGTACTTTAAGAGTATCTCCATCCTTGATGTGAAGGACATCCTGAAAGGGTAAGGAGACGCCATCTGTCTTCTAGTGTGAACTGCATGGAGGGCTCAACCATGTTAAACGAGTCTCTGAACTGAGCTAGGTTGAAATGCTTACATTACGACTATGACCAAGATATTGTGCACGAACCCAAGCCATTTGCAGTGTTATGTGATCTTTAAATGGTCTCTCTCAGTATGCTTTTAAATGTTATTGGCAAAGGTGAAGAGGTTGAGCTTGACACAGGCCTCCTTGTGATGAAGCCCATAGGACATTTTTCTCACTAATTACTAATTACTAGGGTACTTTATCACCAGCAAGAAAATTGGCAGCATGCCTGCATGTATGTAGACCTGTAACATGCACAAGTTTCCCTGTTTATGCACACTAGCTTTATGTATCTTTGCAGTTATTTGATAGTCTATTTTTAATCTGTAATTCTCTGTAATCTACCTTCACTATATGCACTAGGTGTCTTTTACCAAACTGTTAAAAATTGGAATGCAAAATTAAGGATTTATTGTCTTCATATTACACCTGTCATGGGCCAAGAATGCATCTACTGCATTAAGCAAGGGACACGAGTTTATATGGAGAGAGTTCCGGGGGTCAACGCCCCCGCGGCCCGGTCTGTGACCAGGCCTCCTTAGGTCAGTGTCCCAGGATGCGACCCACACCAGTCGACTAACACCCAGGTACCCATTTTACTGATGGGGAACATAGACAACAGGTGGAAAGAAACACGTCCAATGTTTCTACTCTGGCTGGGAATCGAACCCAGGCCCTCACCGTGTGAAGCCAGAGCGTTAACCACCAGGCCACCAGAGCCTGACTTAAGACAAAAATAAATAACTGTAAGTCTCTCTTACCTGTCCAAGTGGTTTATCACTTTGCCTTAATGTTATTACACATAAAACATTCCAGTACATGTTCAGTCACTCTTCCTCACATCTTTGTTAAATATTTATATGTTCATATTTACACATTTATTATTTTTACTTCCTGTTTAACCCGTAAACGGTCCAAACGTATATATACGTTTCTTCAACATTTGAAAGTATGTAAAAAAAGTAGATCTTCTTTTTGTTTTTTTACATTTGAAAATGTGTAAAAAAACTTTGATCTACTTTTTTTTTTTGTTATATTTGAAAATATGTAAAAAAAACGTAGATCTGCTTTTGTAGCGCTACACGTGAACGTAGATGTGCTTGGACCGTTTACGGGTTAAGGCTGCCCAGAATGCTATGTATAATTATGGGTATGTATTTCCATTTAACACTTGTGCACCTTCTTGAAAAAAATATAATTATATTTATATTGACACATTTGCCTAATTGTTTTTAATTTTATTTCAGGTCACAGACTTCCTGCTCTTCATAGGAAAGATGGTGGTAGTGGGAATAATTGGCATTGCTTCCTTTTTCATATTTAGTGGTGAAGTGAAGCCTGCACAGAAATACCTACCAGAAATGAATTATTACCTCACTCCCGTTATTATCATAACCATTGGCACCTTCTTTATCGCTAGTGCATTCTTCTCTGTTTATGCTATGGCTGTGGACACACTGTTCCTCTGTTTCCTTGAAGACTGTGAGAGAAATGACGGATCAGAGGAGAAACCATACTTCATGAGTAAAGATCTTATGAAAATCCTGGATAAAAAGAATAAATTCAAGGAAGCATAGTGCTGTCCAGAGATGTTTAAACTTAAATTGGAAAATTTTTATTGCAGTGATATTAAAATTTTAATTGGAAGCTTGAGTATGAAGATGTTTGTTCACTACTGTAGTGCGTTCAGTGATACTGGATGGGCTGGATAACACAGTACAGGAGTTCATGTTTTTGATGTCGTTTGTGACTTCACAATACTGATACATAGCACCAAATGATGTGTTATCTTTTCGTATGGTTGTTCTGATAGGATCTCCTCAAATGCACAAAAGGTCAAACTCTCAGTTAATGGTTGTTTTACAAATGTGACAATTTACAGATAAGTTCAACATTTGTAATTTTATGGATCTTAGGCCTATTTTACATTGAAAAGTTCTTTTTGTTTGAAAAGGTGTTGGAAATGAACCACAGCTCTGTTATCAGTAATTTTGGCTACTGGAGACTGTAATGACTTTTGTACTAGTTTATCTATATACAGAATTTCTGGACACAAGCCATCAAGAAATAGGTCAGGTCGTGTAAATTTAAATTAAGAGGATAATTTAAGTACTGTATTGTGAATCCATATTCAAGGTAGGGAGGGGAGATACCTAGATGCTGAAGGCCTCTGGCACCAAAGAATTACAACAACCTTCCATTTTCTTGGATCTAACCTGATTACTTCTCATCCTCTAAGGGTGTTTAGTTAGTCTCTCTCCATAAGATATAATGATTATCGTATTTTGTGATTACTGTATCATATTTTGTCGATACTGTGTGTGTTAGTTATGTGCTGTGTTCACGCATGTGTGTGTGTGCACGCATGCATATGTGCATGCGATCACAATATGCAAAATAACCACATTATCTCTTGATAATGTGAGAAATCATGAAAGCACTTGGAATTTCATTATTGTTTCATAGGCTATTTTGCATTTATATATACGTGAGATTTTAGTGGTTAAGCCAGCAAATGTTGTTCAGAGTATACTAAAATTGTATTAATTTTATTACATATTCTCTTACATTAATGCTATATGACCCATACAGGTTTAGTGCTTATGTCATTACTGTATTAAATTCACTGGAGGAGCATGAGACTCGTAGGATAGTCATATAGATCATGAGAGACAATTGGGTTCAATCCAATAATAATAATATAATCAAACTAAGTGCTAAACCCAAAAGGGGTCATACAGCAGGGTTCAGTTCAAGGAAAGGTAGGTAAGGTCTAATTCCTTGGAGCCAGAACCCCCAACTGGCATCAATAAATCGTTCTCAGCAGGTTCCTCTTTCTAATAACAGAAGCACTACCTGTAAGGGCTATACAGCCCCTGGAGAATGGGAGGTTATCAGGTTGATATAAATCCTTCAATAACATTAGGCCACCATTCTTGAAGAGCATATTACTGCTACAAATGTAATTTCATTGTTTTATATATGAATGTTGCAAAATTAGGTAAAATGACTATATCAAATGTCTGCATTATTAGAGATAAACAATGGTACATTATATGTTTATCGTTTAAATTCAACAGAACATTATTAATCAACCATTCTACCTCACTGAGCTAGAGAAACATTAGCCAAAGTAGGTTCTAGTGAAGTTTCTATTGCAACCTCTGACTTAAGAAAGGATACAGGAAGACAGCAAGCTTGTTTTGTGACGAACAACAAGGCACAATACCACGACTCGAACAATACACCAGTAACCCACATATATCTACCACTATTGCTACTACTATTACTATTGCCTCCCTTCACCCTTCACTCTCCTTTATGTGCTACTAAACTATTCTCCCTACTTTTTACTACCACTGTTACTTCTATAACTACTTTCACTACCAGCCTTACCACTACTACTATTTCTTCGCATCTTGGTCCTGTACCTGTCCCCCTCGTCTGTATATACAGGCTCCTTCATTTTTTTGTGTCACTGTGACTGTAAATGGTGAAAGTGGGACCAAAATGTCATCATAAGCTTCTCTCTCCTATGTGTGGGTTATTTGTGTATTTTTTTTTTTTTGTGACAGACTTGTGTAGATTAATGTGTATAAGTTCTACACAGTCAAGTAGTCTTTAAAGCTTGTTTTGCTCTCGATCTTTCCTTCCATGTTGGCAGTGTGCCTTTTTATCCTGCAACCCCACCTGCAAGAAAATATCTGTTATACAAAATAGCTGCCAGTGGTAATTTGTACAGATGACAACTATGTTTTGTATCCCTATAATGGAACAAAACACCTATGCAGTACTCTATTGATTATCTCTTATCAACAGTGTTATATTAAGTAGACTTGCCAGAAATGAATCTGCAAAAACATATTATACATTCTTTACTATGATAGTTACATCTGCTGACATAATACATTTTTGAAAGTTTATAATTGAAAATGCCAATGGCTTACAAACGTGTTATGGAACATTTTCTTATTCGCTTTACATAACCCATATTAATATTTTTCTTGCTTTGTACACATTTGGTATTTCTGTATACGTGATATTTGCCTTTTGCAACCAGTGGAGTTAGCCAGATATGTTGACAGTTTTTATTATGCAGTATTAATCTTACATATTAGTACAGCTGCAATGAGTTTGGTTGGCAGTGTTATCTGCAATCAGCACTTTATGACCCTTGTGGGTTTAGCATTTAGTTTTGATTGTAATAACACCAGCATACAGTGAAGGACGAATATTCCAGGTTGGATCATGCTGTAAACAGTTTTAAATAGATTCCTAATTACTTGTGTACATTTCATCTTAAAATCCCAGTTACTGGTACCTATTTTCTCTTATTGATTATACTCAGTAATACATCACAACAAATATAATCAAATTAAATGTAATCATTTAAAAGGTGATTTATTTCATATAAAAAATATTTTTCTAACCTGGTTTCATGATTATTATATTTTGATATATAAAATTAAGGCAGTATGCTCTTCTTCAGTACTGTATCACACTAAGTTAGTGTGATACAGTACATGAGGAAACTACCATTATTTCAGGTGCACTCATTCAAAACCTTTGTTCTCTGCATCATAAAAAAAAATAATTTAAACCATTTATAATGTACGGAAATGGACAATGAAGTTCGTATTATTTTAAAAACCCTTTTTTTGTTTGATTTTTCCTTTGGTTCAGGGTTATTTTCCCCTGTTTTCCCCCTAAAAAAAAAATTTTTTCCCGTGAGGGAATTTTGATAAAACTTTTTTTTTCCCTTTTTGGCCCCAAATTGAGTCCTAATTGTTACCCTTTTTAAAAACATGATTTAAAAATTCCAGTTTAGAAAAATTTTTCCCCCCCCAAAACTTGATTTTAATTTAATAAATTTTTTTTAAAATTTTAAAAAAACCAAGGGGTTTACCTTTTTGGGGAAATTTTTTACCTTTTCCCAAAATATTAAATTTTTTTTTGTTAAAAGGAAATTTTTTTTTAATAGGTTTTCAAATTTGGGGGTTAAGCCGAAATGTTGCTTTTTATTAGAAAATGAAAAAAGTTCAGCTGCAAGGGCGGGTTCCGTGCTGAATAACAACCCCGGGGTTTTTTTTATCTTTTTTTAAAAACCCCGGGAAACCCCGTGAAAACAAACCAACCACCCAAACAAAAAATTTTTCCCAATTTTTTTGGGGTTATTTTTCATTTTAAAAATAAGGGTAAAATTTTTTTAAATTGTTTAAACCCGGGGTTTTCTCCAACCTAAAAAAATTAAAAACCCTTAAAAAGGGGTTTTTTTCAAAAAAATTTTTTAAAAACCCTTTTTCCATAAAAATTTTGGGTTTAAAATTAAAGGCAGTTGTTTCCCTTTCCCCCGGGCCTGAATACCCAAATTTGGGTTTTTAAAAAATCCTTTTTTGTTTTAAAAAAACCTTTTTTTTGGGCCTTAAAAAAAAATTTTCCTTTTTTGGGGTAGGTTCTTAAATTCAAAAGGAAATTTGAAAATTTTTTAACCCCTTTAAGCTAAACCCTTTTTTTTTCCCCCAAGGCACTATGACCCCTAGGGGGGTTTAGGCCCCCGATTGGAATTTTAATTTTTTGGGCCCCAAGACCTAATCCCCTTAACCCCCCCCTTTTTTTTTAATTTGCACTAAGAAAAATAAAAAGGTGTAGAACAAACCAAAAGGTGTTTCCCGGTGGGTTTTGAATGCCCCCGGGGGGTTTAAAAAGTGTTGGGTTTTTTGTTTATTAATAGGTTTTAAAAAATTTGGGGGAAACCCTTCTTCCTTTAATTAAAATAGCCCTTTAAAAAATGAAGGGTTTCATCCCAAACCCCAAAAGGTTTTCCAAAAACCAACACCCTAAGGTTAAAAACCAACCCCAATTTTTAAAAGCCAAAAAAACCAAGGGGTGTCATCCCCAAAAAAGGTTACATCCAAACCCCCTAAAGGTTAAATCAAAGCCAAAAAATAAAAGTTTTTTCAACCGGAAAGAAAAACCCTTAAGGTTTTTTCAAAAAGCCATAAAACCAAATTTTTCTAGAAAGGGGAAGGGGTTTTTTCCTTCCCCCAAGCAACCCAGGGGGAAGTTTTTTTTTAAACAAATTAATTTCCCTTGGCCCAAAAAAGGGTTTGTCTTGGGGGCCCACCTAAGGTTAAATCCATACCCCCAAAACCGAAGTTTTTTTTCCTAACCAAAAAACCCTAAGGGTTTTATGCCCCCAATAAAGGGTTTAATAAAAAAACCGGGAAAGGTTTCAAAAGCCAAACCCCCCTTTTTATTAACCCAACAAAAGAAGGAAATCGTAGCCAAACCATGGGGTTTAAATGGGGGGAACCCCATGGGTTTTGTTTTAAAAAAATAAGGTTTTAAAAAGGAAACCCCATAAAGGGTTTATCATAGCCAACACCATAAGGTTATAAAAGCCAACACCATGAAGGTTGTCCAAAACCCAACACCATAAAGGTTTCATAGCCAACCCCATGAAGGTTATCATACCAACACCAGGGGAAGGTTGCCCATACCCCACACCATAAAGGGTTTTATCATAGCCCACCATAAAGGGTTTATCATAGCCAACCCATAAAGGGGTTTTCAAAACCCAACACCTTAAAGGGTTTTATCAAAACCCCGCACCAAAAAGGGTTTTTCATACCCAAAACCCCAAAGAAGGTTATCATACCAGCACCATGAATTTTTATCATACCCAAACACCATAAAGGGGTTTATAACCCAAAAACCATAAAGGTTTCATGGGCCAACACCATGAAGGTTATCAAGCCAACACCAGGGAAGGTTATCTAGCCCAACCCCAAATAAGGTTTTCATAGCCAACACCATAAAGGTTTCATACCAACCCATAAAGGGGTTGTCATACCCAACACCAGGGAAAGTTTTCATACCCAAACACCAAAAGGGTTATCTAGCCAACACCATGAAGGTTATCATAGCCAACCCCCTGAAGGTTTCAAGCCACCACCATGAAGGTTTCATACCCAAACCCATGAAGGTTATCATAGCCAAAACCAGGGAAGGTTATCATGGGCCAAACCCCAAATAAAGGGGTTTCATAGCCAACACCATGAAGGTTATCATAGCCCCACCATGAATTTAATCATACCCAACCCCCATAAATTTTTTCATACCCAAACACCATGAAGGTTTCATGGGCCCAACCACCTAAAGGGTTACAAACCCCAACACCATAAGGTTATCTTAGCCAACCCATAAAAGGTTTTCAAAACCCCCAAAAACCATGAAGGTTATCATACCCAAACACCATAAAGGGTTATCATAGAAAACCCCATAAGGGTTATAAAACCCAAACCCCAAAGGAAGGTTTATCATCCCCAACACCAAAAGGGGTTTTCATAGCCAACCCATGAAGGTTATTACCCAAACACCAGAAGGTTATCATAGCCACCCCAAATGAAGGTTTATCATACCCAAACACCAGCAGGTTATCATAGCCAACACCATAAAGGGTTTTCATACCCAAACCCCAAAGGGAAGGGTTTTATCAACCCCAGCCCCAAAGAAGGTTACTAGAAAACAACCATAAGGTTTTATCATACCCAAAGGGTATCACCCCCCTGGGTTTCCCATAGAACCCCTTAGTTTTTAAATAGAACCCCATAAAGGTTATCATAGACAAAATTTTATGGGCCCCCAGAATTTTCATGAAACCCTTTGGGTTTAACCCCCTTTTTTTGGGTTAAATAATAACAATGAATTTTTCTGGCCCAAAATTAATTTCTGGAGCCCCAAAATTACTGCCCCCAAAATTTCAAACCCCGCCCTAAGGTTATTTTTACCAAAGGGAAGTTTTCCCCCAACAATGAAGGAAAAAAATAATTTATGAACCATAATTTAAATAAAAATAAATTTCATTAAAATGGGGGAATAAGAGAAAATTTCCCGGTCCCCAAAAATTTAAAGGTTTTTCATTCCCCAAACCTAAGGTTTTAACCAACCCTTGGGGAATATACCACCCAAATTTTAACAAGAATTTTATACATTAAAAGGGTTCCTGGGGGTCTCCCTTTCCCCCAAAAAAATTGGTTTTTTTTCCCAAAAAAAGGTTTCATAAAAAAAAAATTTTTGGGTTAAATTTTTAAAAATAAAATGATAGGTGGGTTTTCAAAGGGAATTTTGGGGGGATTAAGGGCAGTTAAAATTCCCCGCCCTTTACCCTTCATTAATTTCCCTTTTATGGTTTTGGGCCCCCCCTCAAAAGGGGGGTTTTCCCAAAACCGTTTTTTCGTTTTTTTGAGTTTGGTTCCCCTTTTCGGGGAATTTCCCCAACAGGGGAACCCCAAACCTTGTTACAACTTCCTTTTAACCGGAAATTTAAAGGTTTTAAAAATTTAATTTTTTTTTTTAAAAAACCATCCAAAAAATTTTAAAATTAAAAAAAATGTTTTCCCAACTTGCCTAAAAATTAAAAGGGCCACCCTTTATATTCATTAACCCCGGTACCTACATCGGGGTAAACCCCACTGCCCCGCCGGTTTTTTAAGGTATAACAAAGGAAAACAATTTTACTCCTTTTAACCGAAAGGGGTTTAAAAATAAAATTTTTTAACTTTTTTTGGGGCCGGGGTGAACCCCAACCTTTGAAAGAAAGGTTTAACGTAAAAACACCCAGGTCCCTTTACTTACTGTTTAGTAAATAAACAGCGGTGTAAGGTGACTAACACCCGGGTTTACCCCCTTACTGTTTGGTGAAAAAATGACAGCGGGTGTAAGGTGACCAACCCCCTGGGGTACCTATTTACTGTTTGGGTAAAAACTGACGCAGGGTAAGGGGGACAAAACACCCAGGCCCCTTTTTTCCCTGCTGGGGAAAGTGCCAGCGGGTTTAAAGGGGAACAAAACCCCCCAGGTCCCTTTACTTACTGCTGGGTTAAAAGACAGCAGGTGAAAGGGGAAAACATCCGGTTTTCTACCCCGGTGCCGGGGGAATCAAACCCCGGCCCCTTTTAATGGGGGAAAAGGCCCGGGGTGTAAACCCACTAAACCCCCATAAACTTTTAAAATTGGGCCAGAAACGGGTTAAAAACAACCAACCCCCTGGGGGAAAAAAACCCCAAACCCCTTATTTCCCGGTGTAAAAACTGAAAAACTGTTCTTTAAAATTCCGGCGTTTTAAATGAGAAAGGAAAACAAAAGGGGGTAAAAAGCGGTGGGGTGGGGCCTTTTAAAGAATTCCCCGGGGAAGGGGGGTTTTAAAAATTTGGGCCCTTGGGGTTTTTTTACAGGGGGCCCCACAACAGTTCTTCATCAGCCCCAACTAAGGAGAGTGGGGA